GGAAACACTGTCCTACCTTCTGTCTCTGTGAATGGGATGATCCTAGGGACCTCATATAAGTGGGGTCATACAGCGCTTGTCCTTTGGTGATTGGCTTGTTGCTTTCAACATCCTGTCCTCGAGCTTCGTCCATGCTGTGGCATGTATCAGAATTTCCTTTCTTTATAAGGCTGAATAATATTTCACTTTATGGATATGCCACGTTTTGCTTATCTCCTAGAAAGGTCTTCATTTCCTTGGAGTGTTTCTCTCCCTGTCTGGGGCCCTCAAATATTGTGGGGCCTCCGTGGCGCGGCCCGGCCCCCTCCCTGCATGCACCCTCTTCGTTTCATCCCTGGACCCTCTTGTCTTGGCTCTACCTTCCACCTTTAGGTCAGGTCTCTCACTCAGATCTTTGTCTCCAGCCTAGGTTTTTGTCTGAGATGCAGACCCACCTGGCCTTAATTTAAATGTCTCACAGACATGAAAACTGAACTTTTGCTGAGTAAGCCTTTTCTGTCTTCTGTGACTAAATGGTCACCACCATCTATCTACTCAGTGACCCAGGCTCATGACCTGGGAATCATCCTCAATTCTTCCTCCTCGCTTTCTCCTCCCGTTTAACCAACCCCCAAGTCTTCTTCTTTTTTTTTTTTTTTTTTAAATATATCTTTATTGATTTCAGAGAGAGGAAAGGAGAGGGAGAGAGAGAGACAGAAACATCAATGATGAGAGAGTCATTGATCGAGCCCGCAACCCGGGGCATGTGCCCTGACCGGGAATCGAACCCCGAGTGCCTAGGTCAACGCTCAACTGCTGAGCCACACCCGGCCAGGCACCACCAAGTCTTCTTGTTCCAAATCCTGGTGACGCCTTGGATCTCTTCCCTCCTCTCCACATTTACCACCACTGTCTGAGCTCAGACCCTTAGCACCTCTTAGCTGGATGCCCTGGGAACCTCCACTCTGACACGCCTGCCTCTGGACCAGTGTCCCTCTCATCCATTTGCTTCTACACCTGTCTGTTTAAAACTCTCCAGTGGCCCACAGCGTCAAGTCCACACTTCCAAGGGTGGCACAGAGCCCTCCCTCCCTTCGAGGTCTGGGCCCACCCTCTCACCGTGTGGCCTGCCCCTCACCCAGCCTCTGCCCATCTTTCCAGCACATACCCTGCCCTTTGCCCACCCTGGGCCCTCTGCCTGTACAAACCTTTGACATCCCCCCTCACCACTCAGCTGGGCACCACCTGCTCACCCTCTGCAGGTTGTCCTCCCTGGTCTCCAGAGCAGCCTTAGGTGCAGCCTTTTCCAGCACTCGCATGTGTCTCGTTGACTTGGGGACAAAGCTGCATGTCCTCCACCCTCTCCTTATCTCTTCTGTGTTAAGAACATCCAACCTGTTCTGAAACACACTGAGCCCAAGGAGCCGGGAAGAGCTGAGGTTGATTCACGAGGAGAGTTCCCGGATGTTTGAGGGTCTGAAAGAGAAGACCTTTAGGTCGTGGACTAGAGGGTGCTCCATTCACATTGTGGCGGAGGAAAGTGAGCCTCTCATTTTAGGCATCGTCAGTCTTGGGGATTTGTGTAGAACACCCAAGTGGAGCTGCCCTCTAGACTGAGAAGGGGTGCAGTGGGAGAGTTGGTCTGTGTCCTTGCTGTAATCCAAATCCGCGGAGCTTGCAAGCTCCCAGGGAGGGAGCGGAGCGTGTCCCGAGGTAGATTAGGCCTAAGCCTTCAGCAGCCAGCAGCTCCCCAGACCCTCAGTCTGCACTCAGCGTTGGGCATTTCTGTTTGGAACATCGGTCCCGGGGTTGGGGCAGACCATCGGACCCTGCAGATGCGGGAAGGAGATGCTGTGCTTTCTGATGGCTCCCTGTTCTCTCCTCAGGGCTTTGCACCTCAGGAGGCCCGGAGGCCCCCCACACGTCAAGCTGGCTGTTGAGTGGGACAGCTGCGTCAAGGAGCGGTGAGTTTGACAGAATTTGACTCCAGCAGGGAGAGATAGGGCCGGCCTGTGCAAAGACATCTCTCTGTGCCCAGTGTCCCCAGTGACCGTGAGGCACTATACAAATCTCCTTGATGCCGTCTGAGAAACCCTTATGACAATTGTCTGTATAAACAGCGAGGATAGTACAGCACGCCTCTGGGATATTGCGGGTTCGGTCCCAGACCGCTGCATTAAAGTGAGTGTCGCAATAAAGTGAGTTGTAATCTTTTGCTGGTGGAGAGTCTTGCCCTCAATTTGTAAAAAACCCTCAGCACCTGTGAGGCACACTCAGCCAAGGTACGCCTGCAGTAGTAACGGTGAAGGGGGTGGCGCTGGTGGTAGCAGTGGCCGGAGTAAATCGTTACGTTGACGCTTCCTCACCCCGTGCCAGTCATTCTCTGAGCACTTGACATATTTGCAATTCGTGTCATCTTTATTACATTCTGTGAGGTGGGCACTGCTATCACCCGCCTTTTCAGATGGGGAGACTGAGAGATCAACCAGTTGCTCAGCGCCACACAGCTCGTGCATGACGGTCGGGATTTGAGCCCGTATCGTCCGGCTCTGGGCCTTGCTCTTGATCACCACCCTCGGCTGAGTGTGTGACCCCGAGTGCATCCGCCCTGCTTTGACGGAGGACCCTGTTCCGTCCAGCGAGTGCTTATTAACCTCCCGCTGGGCGGTCGGCCCTGCGCTAGGGCGAGGAGACAAGGGGGGACTGGGCCCCTCCTGGCGCCGGTGGGGGGCAGAGTTCCAGGAAAACGGTGGCGCAGAGTCTGCGTGTGCGGGAGGTCCCCGCGGGCGCCTTCGCCTCCCCGGCTGTGCGTGGCGATTAGGAGGGGCCCCTCTCGGAAGTGAGAAGCCCTGAGCGCCGCGGGCGTCCCCTCTGCAGCCTGTTCGGGAGCCTCCGGGAGGAGCAGGTCCAGGACGCCGACAGCGTTTGGCGGCAGCAGCAGGCGCACCGGCAGCACAGCTGCACTCTGGACGAGTGTTTCCAGTTCTACACCAAGGAGGAGCAGGTCCTGCCCGGGTCTGCTCCCAGCCGGGACGGGGGCGGGTCGCCTGGAGGCGGGGAGGGGGGGCCCCGCGTGGGGGCCTCACACCCTGGGGCTTCCCTTCCAGCTGGCCCAGGACGACGCGTGGAAGTGTCCCCACTGCAAGGCCCTCCAGCAGGGCATGGTGAAGCTGAGCCTGTGGACGCTGCCGGACATCCTCATCGTCCACCTCAAGAGGTTCTGCCAGGTGGGCGAGAGAAGAAACAAGCTCTCCACGCTCGTGAAGTTTCCACTCTGCGGCCTCAACATGGCTCCGCACGTGGCCCAGAGAAGCGCTGGCGCCCCGCCCGCGCCGGGTCCCTGGCCTTCCTGGAAGCAGCCAGCCTGCCTGCCCACCAGCTGCCCGCTGGACTTCCTGTACGACCTGTACGCCGTCTGCAACCACCACGGCAGTCTGCAAGGTGGGCATTACACAGGTGAGCTTTGCCTCTGGGCTGGTGGCTGCCGTGGCCGCATGTCGTGGCTGCGTGTGGTGGCCGTGGCCTGGGCCTCAGGACGCCCTGGGAAGGGGCGCTCTCGGAATGCCCAGCTTATTCGGCCCCTCGACGTGAGCTGACCCCTCACCCGCTGCACACCAGGCACTTGCTAGGGGGCAGGGGCCTGATCCCGAGGGCGGAGGCCTGGTCCAAGCCGTAAAGTTGAGCTAGGTTGGTGTTTGAAATATAAAGTTAGTTGTGGCCTGCATTTTTGACCATATCAAATATAGGAGGATAATTGTTAGAACTGAGAGAATAATATTTGTCCTCAACTGTGATTCAACATAAGGACTCTTATCAGATATTTTTATTTCTATGGGCACATTTAATTATTACCCTTCAGAGGAACTTGAGAGAAGCAGACGAATGGAAGGGCAGAAACAAGTAACTGGGTGACTTGTACAGTTGTTCATAGTCATATACCTTAGCCTATTCTATTCTAGAGTAACAAATTATTTCATTTAAAAAAGGCTTTAAAATACTCATTTTCCCAAAAGTGCACTGTTGTAGTGTACTAATGTACCTATAATTTGGAAGACACTGAACTGTATAGAAACCCGTGATCATCACTCACTCTTCCATTGGACTCATTCTGTGCCCGACCCTGTGCTGGGTGCCCGGGCTGTAGTGATGAACAAGGCAGATGTGAGTCCTGCCCTCATGGGGCTCCAGTCTAATCCCAGACACAGATGATAAGAGGGGTCTTCCAACTTCAGCACTTTCACTGCCTGGCATTGTGAAAAGCTGACTGACTGATTGATTGTGTCTGTGACAGAGATGAGGCCTCTCTGAGGATGTCACCTTTAGGTCAAGAGCTGAAGGCTGAGGTGGAACTAGCTATGTGAATAATGGGAGGAAAAGCAAATGGGCAGGGCTACTGGCATGTGCAAAGGCCCTGAGGCAGAGTTTTGGTGTGTTTGAGAACTGATGGAAGCCTGCTATGGCTGAAGTGTAGTGATTCAGGGGTACGTAAGAAAGATGGGGCTGGATGAGAAGGCACTGTAAGCCATGGACAGGAGCTTGTATTTTTTCTAAATGGTGATGGGAAGCCATAAAAGGTTTTAGGCAGAGAGGACTAAAGGTGTAATTCTTTTGACAAATTGAGGTAGTAGCTCTGTTCTGGGGGGAATGGGTAGAAGGGAGCAAGAGTAGAAGTTGTAATTCCAGTTAGGAAGATGTTTCTGGAGCTCGACCCAGAGTCTGTGTTGTCGGGGGCTTGGGTGATGACAATCAGGGTATTCAAGACACATTTTGGAAGTGGAATCAGTAACACTGACTTTTGGAATGGGGGGTG